AGACTCATACACAGCCACAGTCCCACCCAATCCACACCCACGGACACTCACACCCTCATATTCACATCCACTCCGACACGCACACTCATACCGACACATAGCCACAGCCACAGCCACACTCTCGCATCCATATTCACTCTGACACTAACACCCATATGTACGTACAGCTATAGCCATACCTACACTCAAACGCAAAAAAGAGAAGTATCTTAGACAAGTAAAGAATAAAGAAGAAATTTGAATAATATTAAAAGTGCAATTATTTAGAATTAATCAACTCGTTATTTTAAATGCAAGAGGGGTTGACATTTTAATATAGAAGATAAACATACCATACTTTTCTTTTATGAAATCTCTAATTTTCTTGATATTTGTTCTATATATAAATAACTACATGTAAATTTGTTTATTTCCTATTGAAATTTTCAACTCAACTTATATTGATATGAAAATCTTTGTTATTATAAAGAAAAAAAAGCTTTTATTGAAAGAAGAACTTAAATATTTTTTTCAATATTCCAATTAAAATATTAAAATCGTTCTGTTTTACTATCTTTTATAGAATTATCCGAAGCAATACTTAATTGAGCAGCAGACATTCGACGTGTATAAATAGACAATCTTTGTTTCATATTTTTTTCACCATCATCATCAATATCATTTAAAGCTCGAACTTCTTCAATATGTAATTGATTAAGAAATGCTTTTCGATAGAAAACCAACATTGGATTTCGAATAAGAAAAGCACCTAATTTCCATTTACGAATATATCTTGACGAAGGTCTGATTTGTATTCGATATTTTTTTTCTATTGATAAATCAGTAAAAAATATTTTCTTATTTACCCATTGTCTCATTATATATTGAGTATAAAGATGTGAAACAAATACTAACATAACTGGATGTCGATGAGTACATTCAGTATGTATTAAACCACAATATGCACTAAAACCACCATCCAATGTTTCTAATTTTCGACCTAGTGGAGAATAATCCAAACGACACATATAAAGAATTCCACCAATTAAACTTTGAATTAATCGAAATATTGATGAAACAAAACCAAGAAAAGCATCTAAGAAAAAATTAAAATAAATAAATATCATTAATATACGACGATTATTTAATGCAAGAACTTCTCCATAATGTTGTAAAAAAACATATTGTGCAAGCAATATATTAATATATTGCTTAAGTAATATCGGTAGAACAACAGGTATAATATATTTTAAAATCTTTTCTATTATTCGAACACTTCCATAAGTAATGAATGCTTCAATAGAAATAGAAATAATCGTCGAAAGTAATGCTATAAGTATAAAACCCCATATTAAATAACCAATAAAATAACCAGCAAAATGAATATTTCCTGATGAACATGAAATATAATGTAATCTTTGTCTTCGTGGTATTTCACTATCATCACCACGATATGTTTGTAATAAATTTCTTCGAATATTAACAAGGAAAACTAATAATTGTATTATTATAATAATTAATGTTAAAAATAAAGCAATTATATAAGGTCTTACTAATGATGGAACTGGAAAATTTGATGTATTACCATTAACTTCTGTATTATCATTTGTAGAAAAAGCAGCGATTAATCCTGTTACTGCATCAAACACTCTCTGAAGAAAAGTTTGTACTAAAGATAAATAAGGTATAACTCTTACACATGCTTGAATAGCAACAAAATATAAAAGAAGAAATATTGATGAATAAACACAAAGAACACGAGATGAATAAAGAAAATCATCTCTCCATTCATAAATTTTCTTTGGTATTAATCGACCAAATAAATTTTTAGTATGTGGACGTTGATTAGTAGAACGAAATAAATTTTGAACATAAAGCATTTCAACTGAATTCGGACGAGATACACGAGCAAGTATTCTTTGTTCTAGTGTTAATTTTAATAATAGTTTCTTTTCTAGTGATACATTTCCTTTAAATTTAAAATAAATTTTATCTATTAATAATAATGGTAATTTAACATTTATATAAGCTAAACATAAATATCTTGGTATATCTGTACATAATTGTATAGCAATTAGAGCAGGACCAGTACCATAATACAAAAACATAACATCAACAGTAGTAGAATTCTTTACTCTATATTGATCATATGTTGAATAAAAATCTGGTTCACACATTCCTTGTTTAACTATTGTTATTGAATAATCAAGCCAAGCATATAATGTTGCGCATATTAATGTAAATATTGAATTTATATAAACAGCTGCTAAAAATGGATAATATCGAAAACCCATAACAAATACTTGTAATAAGTGTAAGAGGTAAGTAAGAATAATACCTTCACCTTCTCGTGAAGCTCTTCCTCCCACTAATTCTAAAAATATTGTTATTAACTCATCAGCACAAATAGCAAAAACTACTGCAGCAAATTTTCGATCAACACCTGAAATAAAATCAACAGGTATTGGTAGTCCTCCATATCCATGACATTTATCACGCATTAATGATGTTCGTTTTGTTACTATTATAAACATAATAATTAATAAACAAGCAACAGGAAATGTAATAACATTAAATTGATCAAATATTATTGAATTACAAAAAGAATTTGGTATATAATAAAGGGATTGTTTTGTTTGATATTTATTAACAATTTCATCATGTATTGGTTGTAATATTTTCCATTTTCCAAGAAGACCTGCAGTTGCTACAATTATTATCAAAACAGTAGTTAAAAATAATGATAGACGAGGTGCTCGTCGAACAGTTTTTAGTGCAACATCGAGTAATTTTGGATATTCGATATTTTCTCTAGATTAATTAATAAAAATAAAAATAAAAAATAAAAATATATATATAAACTTTTTCTGATTTTCTTTTGATTTGTTTTTCCTATTACGAATATATCGTACAAGTCCTAATCCATAATAAAGTGCAATAACAAATGCTGATATACAACCAAATGCAATCACTTGTTTTCCACTAGTTGTTTGTTCATCACAAATTGTTCCAGCCCACCAAAATTTGCATTCACAAGACATATTACCATTAGAATCTGTACGACAATATCCATATTGACTACATGGATTATATTTTGAACAATCTTAATAATTATGAATAAAATAAATAAAATATTAAATTAAAATCGTTACTTGATAATCCATCAACAACAACGGTTAATGACAAAATAGTAACAATCAATGTGTTCACTGATGACATTGAAATAAATTTATTTCACGTAAAGTTGGCAGTCCTTTAAATAAGATTTGTTTTCTTTGCGTTCTGACAAAAATATGTGCTTAATATAAAAGTTGCTACCGATAAAATAAATATAGTACCCACACATCATCTTTTTTTTTTCTTTTTTTTTACATATAAATAAGTAGAAAAAATTATATTATTCATCTCAAAAGAACACTGTCAAGGCTACCAGTCATTCTCATACGGTGTCATACTTTTGAATTATTTTCCTTTTTTTTGCTTTATTCTCTCTCAAGTAAACTATTCAAAAAGAAAAAGAATGTGCACCGCCTGTATAAAAGCTCTTGAAAGTGTAGTTAGAATTCATATAATGCACATTAAATTATTTTTGGCAAAATTAAAAAAAATGTCTATTCTAATTTTAAAATCCAATAAGAATTCGTTTCTATATCAACATACTGAATGAAAAAAGAACTGATTTTTGTCAAGTGTTCCTCTTTTTTTAAAGGAATATTTATTTTCTTCGTGTACATTAATTAGAAAGAAAGCAAAAATGGAAACATAAAATTGTTTTTTTTCTGTGATGGATAGAAAGAACAAAATAATTTCTTAAGGCCTCCCCCCCCCCCCCCCCACTCAAAAATCGACCTCAGCCCAGGTACATTCAAAAGGGGTGACATTTGGAGTAGGGATGGCATTGCCCTGTTAATTTATTTTAAATTTAAATTTTGAAAAATTTATATTTAAAAAAAATGTAAATTTTTTCAATAACAAAATTTATACTTAAAATAAGCTTAAATTTTCTGAATTAAGATGAAAAAGAAATGTAAATTTTTATTACACCAAAAATTTATAATTAAAATAAATTTAAATTTTCGAAATTTACATTTAAAATAAATATAAATTAAATTGAAAAATTTTATTTATTATGTTGTTTCAAACAACATAATCCATATCAGGGTCACATGTCTCTATCAATTATGTTGTTTCTCGTAACGGTCCACAGGCATGCTTTCAGCAGTTTATATTTCAAAAATAATTTTGTTCAGTAATTCTTTATTCCAGTGTTTGAAAATTATAACTTGGCCTTTAGGCATACTCGACATAAATGTTTTGATCTTTTCACACTTCAGATACAATCGAAAATGCTAGCTGGATGTTCTATTTATCCGTGTGAAGATAGATGCACCAAGTGAGCGATAGAAAGAGCGATACTACCATTACCCATTATTTTACTCTGGTAATAATTATATATATTGTCAAAACGGAAACTATTTGGTCAAAAACAATTGTTCGATCAAAATTCTTTAGATTATTCATGTAAGACAGGACGAGTTGTTCACTTTTAGTGGCACTAGTTTTTAGAAAACATCATTGTTCTCACAAGATCTAATAACCATATGCTGAAAGATTCGATTGTTTCGCAGCTTTCTATAAGTTTATCAAATGCAAAAATGAGATCTAAAACTAGGTTGTGATTGTTTTTATGATTCGAAAAATCCAGTTGAATGGGTGGTTTTCTCAAATACGAATCAGATTTTTAAATGTAATCGATTTCAACCTACTGGAGTGGCTATCATTTGGTTTTGATACACTATAGCATAAATTTAATATGAAATGTTGCTTTTATTCTGAGAGACAAGACAGAAAATTCTAATTTAGTTAAAATTTATTTAAATGTAAATTTCGAAAATTTTAATTTATTTTAATTATAAATTTTTGGTGTAACAAAAATTTACATTTCTTTTTCATCTTAATTCAGAAAATTTAAGCTTATTTTAAGTATAGATTTTGTTATTGAAAAAAATTTACATTTTTTTTAAATATAAATTTTGAAAAATTTATTTTCGGATTTAATAAATTGGCGTAAATGTAAATAGACCACCCCTAATTTGGAGCTTATGTTGGGGTTTATGTGGGGAGACTGTGGTAAAATTTTCAGCTCGATACCCTGATGTTTGGCAGAGATATGAATCAAACAAGGGTAAAAAATAGCTCATTTTCAGACAAGGATTTCTCGATCCAGACTCTATTAACATATTT